CTGTTCTCACTTGGCGCTGCACAGACACCCCAGCAGCGCCGGCTGTACGTACAGCCGGGCCCTCCATAGAGTTGATCACAAGGGGCAAAACTTGAAAGCAAAATAATAAAAAATAAAACAATTGTATTTAATAAATATAACTGCTCTTGAAAGTCGATAGAGACAAATACAAACAAAAGTCAAACGCAGCAACAAAACTCGGGGCTTGCTGCCGCTGTATCGGTGCCGTCTTGGGTAGTTTTTGGGTCTATCTACGCCAAATTTCTTCGCATATAAATACATATAAATACAGAAATATACATAAATACATGAACTTTCTATCTATAGCAATTTAGCTCGACCAGTGAAGGCCCCCCGCTGCATGGGGGGCCAACTGTAGTGTACGAGTTTCTACTACTACTACTAAGCCGTGTTACTACGATCAACCTGTAGCTGCGTGCCATCTCTCCGCTTTACCCACCGCACATCTCACAAAAGACGTCAGAAAACAACTTTAAACCCCTAAAATAAACATGAATTCTCTTTTATAGACCCTACAAAACACGAAACTATATTCTCGTTTCGTCGGCTGGCGGCTGTTGCACACTCGCTAGCGTAGTGACCCAGACCTCTATACACCTCCTGCAGCTCTCGCCTCTCCTCTGAGCTCTTGGGTCTGCCGTGGGACAAGCCCGGGCCGCATGCGCTTTGCCCTGACACCGGCGAGATACAACTCCTAAACCCTAAATCCTAAACCCTAAACCCTAAAACCCTAAACCCTTGTAGCACTGGCGCACGTGTACACTTCGGTACTGTTTCTGCCATACTAAGTTGAAACTCCAGTTTCCGTGTGCGAAATTTCTCCTCTGCGGTGGCTATAGGGGCTATAGCATCGGCTGCAGCCCTCCAACTTGTTTTTTTTTTCGTACTTTGTTCTGTTACTGCCCATCTGTGTTTAGCTGAAACATTCTTTAAGAAGTAACCAACGAAGTCTTCTGCTGAAGCCCGGGGTCCCCGTGCAGCGATCCGACTGAAGTCAGCCGTGTATGCGCTGCAGCCGCCATTCCCCTTGTTAGCTGCCCTTTGGTGGTGAATGAGGGCTGCTCGGTCTACCGTGCAGCAGCACTTTATTCAAGGGTTCCTAGTTCCGTCGAATAACACAATCATTTCAATGGCTTTCATAAAGGGAGCCCGAGAGCGAAAGCAATGTAGTTGGGGTTGGGGTGCAACGACACCTTGATCGATGAAGGTTGGTTGATGACGCATGCGGAAACTGGTTGGCTAGCAGGATTTGTTTCTATTCGCTTGTAGCTGAAGCTGCAGCAGCAAAAGCAGCTGCAGCTGCTGCATCGCATACCCGCAATGAAATTGCATTGCAGCTGCAGTGACTACGCGAGATGCATGCATCCTGATGCTGCAGCACTGACCTTCCGCCAAGAACGCAGAGGGTTTTAGTTGAAACTGCTTCGCCGCATTATTTTCCTAGTTAGCCTGAGTTGTATTCGTAGCTGAGTCAGTCGAAACAGAGCTCATGCATGAATACTCTACAGCGTTCAGAATCTAAGCTTTCTTTTGATATTTGTGCAAACATATATACATATGTTTATATATATATATATATATATATATATATATATATGCCACTTAGATATGTGGCTGTTATTAGACAAGCTTGTTGTGTGCGTATTGCTCCGTTGGTCGTTTCTAGGGCCATTTGTAGATGGGTGCAAACGCATCGCAAGCGCAGATCCAGTTTATGCAATATATCTATCGCTATAATATGCAAAAACAATTAGTTACATGACCCCTATGCAGCAACTGCGGCGTAGGCGCAGGTGTATCCACCGCATGGCCTCGTGCGGCCGGGCTCAGACTCCACACAAACACCCTGCATGGGCAAAACCTAAAGGATAAGAAAGAGCGTTACTGCAATGAAAAGAGAAAACGACTACAGAAAGATGCGGCAACCGGAATCAATGAAAGGAAACTCGGAACGATGGCAGCACTGCTCTGTGTAGACCACCGAGACACCGTCAGTGGTGAGAGGACCATTGCCCCTCCACTACTTAATAGCTTTAAACTATACAAAGTAGACAGTAAACATTACTTATAATACCATAATTTTGTTAATAATATTTATAAACTTGCTCAGGATGGCGAGTTGTTCGTTCGAGCCGAGGAAGAAGGGCTCGAGTGCATCGATTGCCTGGTCCCGCGTGGTAACCTTGGTGTGGTCAGTGCGACTACGCTATTTGTAAATAATAATAGTATGAATCCAGGTGAATAAAATTAATTAATTAATTCATGTTAACGAATTTAACCAAATTACATTCGTCAAAAGTTACCACTTTCTTCTGAACTGGCAGAGCAGCCGCGAGGGCGGGGCCCGCTCTGAGCACTGCTTTCTCGCCGATCGGTTCAGGCGTGCGCTCTTCTGTTCGTTGAGTTTGTGTTCTACACTACATACATTTGAATCTTTTTAATGGAATTTTTGTCGATTTGAACTCTTGTTAAGTTCTTATCCAGTTCCTCTTTTTCATATATCCTTGCATCTCAATTCAGTCTTCATTCCTTTACAATGTCTTCTCATAGATCGCCCGCTTGCACGACCCTGCGAGGGTTTGCGGTGGCTTTGCTGGTAGTTTGCTCGAAGTTTGCTGCAGCAGACGTCGGCGTTATGTCACCTGATGTAATAAAAGTGGACAGGCGGGATGTCTTGGGTCCGGGTATGTGGTCTATGGGCCCGGATGGTTGCAGGCTGGGAGTGCCAGGCAACCTTATAGTAACCCCCAAGCCAGGCTCAACCCAGGAAGGAGGTGAAATTCTGGATCCTTTTGAAGTTGGGCCGGAGGTATGTTCGTGGCTCTCGATGATGAATGAAGCGCATAATCAGGTACGGGCCGCGTGGGAAGCGGAGCACGCCAGGCGACGCAATAGTATCTCTTCATGGAACCTCCTCAAGCGGTATACGATGTGGAGGAAGACGTTCCCCCAATTAGAGATCGACGTCGATGTTCGCTACATGTCTCTTTGGAACACGGATCGCTTCGGTCATCCCCTTCCTTGGGCAAGGGTGGTGTTCAGATACTGGTGCCCCGACAGCGAAGATAATTACGGCCTATTCGACCACCTCCGCGGATCTGTATTCTCACAGGGTAAAGACCCCAGAGTTCCCACGGAAGTCTACTTGCTGCTGAATCCCCGCATGGGATTCAACAGACCCCTCGATGTCAGTGCTAGCAAATGGCAGTTCGTCACAGGTGCAATCTCTGGCCTCAGTGAGGGGGGGGACGCGGTGCAACCGAGGATGTCGGGAACAGTAGCCTTGGTGGAGTCTATGTTTGTCAAATACCAGTCGTTCACAACCCTCAAGGGCTCAATCAACGACTGCTGGATGCAACAAGGTCACTGCTACTTCAAGTGGTAAGTCTNATATATATATATATATATATATATATATATATATATATATATATATATATATATATATATATATTGTAAATGGATACTTGTACAGCAACCCATATCAGACGATTCCGAGGACGTAGGGTTTCCACAACATGCTTGCTCTGGTTTGTGCGTTCCCGTCTCTTGCAGGCTACTAAGGATGGAGTGGAGAATATTCGGGGAGACGTTCTGTGAGAGGGTGCACCGGCAGGCGAATACCGACGTGGGGAGTGCGTTCAAGTCCTCTGCACTCAACAGTGTGCAGGTGCATGTGTTCGGACTAGACCTGTTCTCCGGGACCAGGCCCGTGTTGTATGGTATGGCAGATGAGGGTGTATTGGGCGTCAACGACAACTCTGGTGTACTGACGATGGAAATAGACACAGACCCAAGGAACATACCAGACTTCAACCGCTCAAAGGCAACAGCAAGAAATATTCGGGCTGCCAATATGCTCTTCAAGGGAGTCTCTTCCTTTTTGGGGAAAAGAAAAGGCAAAGAGGGCAAAGTTGATGATGATGATGATGATTGATCTGCTTTCCGATGGCGTACATAGGGCAGTCAGTACCTGCAGCTGTAGCTGTAGCAGGGCAAGTGGTTTGCATACATATCCTTGACCGACGGTACTGAGTATGCAGCGCTCTCATCATCAGATGTTCAGTTGTACGAAGGAAGCTCGAACATTTTGCATAAACCTTGGCGGACATGTGGACGCATACACTCGAATATATCCAGCATCCCCTCCCCGTCCCCTAGCGAAGATATGCATCGTAGGGATGTTTGGGGATGTAGTGTTTACACTGTCTGCCGTCAATTGCTTGGCAGGAACAAGATTTCTCCAGAAGTGTTGAGGGGCAGCAGTTCTGTGCTCTGTGCAAGGCGAATCACAAGCGTGATCCCGTGGGCACAGTTGCTCGCTAGCGATCTGCTGCCTGGAAAATTCGTAGCGGGACAGTGATACAGCTTTGGGTATGCGAAGCGACAGTCGTCATTTTTGTCGAGTATGACGGCCAAGGCGGTTGGGTCGTATGGACTTTGTGATGCTGGTAATTGTTTTGTGTGCTAGGACTAGAACCATGCAGGCACGCCACGCTGAGCTAACAGGCAGCGAACTCGTATTGAATCCCCCTTAGTCATGCGTAGCTACAGACTTTCAGAATTTCGTAGCGAATTGTACCGATAGCTTTAGATAAAGTTACGGAGGGGAAAGGCACTTAGCCGTGTCGACTGAGGGATGCTGCCAAGCGGCAAAAATGTTACGTTGACGCAATCGATGAACGGAGGTGGTAACGCAAGAGAAGCCTCCTCTACGAATGCAAACGCATATTCTTTGACTCCTGAAGAAGGACTTAGAGTCCACGCTTGCATGCATGGATTTAAAGAGTTATGCTCTCTAAATGAGTGCATGCAAGTACCATTTCTAAGCTCGACTTCAGAAATGTTGAAGTTGCAGGGAGTCCTTCCCATTCCCTTAACGTGGCGGGGGGGTCTTTCGCCTTTTATATGACTAAAGCTAGACTCAATGATGATTAGAATAGTATCTCGAAATAACTCTTTGCTGTAGCATATTTGCTGAGCCTGTGCAGGAGAACGTAGATGCTATCACAGCCGCTGACTGACTGTAAAGCAACGATGGGACCAGCTGAAGCGTCCGTCTATGCACATTCAAACGCTTACTAGGAAGGGCTTTCATGAAGCAGTATGTATGAATACTATTCCTGGTATGCGTCTAGATTCTACATATTTCGAATGAGACTATTGCAGCCGTCGTGCGAGCTCGCGTCCGCCTTCCAGGCCCGCGAGGGCAGTTGTGATTTGCAGCGCTTGGTACGGACATATTCGTTTTGAAAGGAATGCCTGGACACTAAACCCTAAACCCTAAACCCTAGACCCTAGATCCCTGGAGAGGAAGCAGGGAACACATGCCAACCTGAAGGGTGGCAAACGGTGATCAAGGAGCAGAAATCTTTGTCTGACGAGTTCCAATACACAACACACAGGAACACAGCGAGAGTCCATCGGTATCCACATGGAATATAACTTAATAGTAGAAATGTATGTTCCAACTTGAAAAAGGCCGTGTTACAGGGTCGTCGGACTACGAGTGGGTTTGTAATTCAAACTCCCACTGGAACACAGATATAACAAGCATCAAACCAGCGATGATGTACACATGGGCACATTGGTTTGCCTGCCCATACAAACTGGGAAATACTGCCCTAATAAATATGTCAATAATTAAATAAAAGTATAATAATAATAATCGATGATAGTGATTATTCGGAGGACAGTTTAATGGGGGTAATTCTGGGGTTCGTCCCACAGGGGCCCCGCCTTCGGGGGCCCCTGCAGTTGCATGCAACACCGAGTAATTCTTGCGAGGTCTCCTCATTAAATGTGCCTTATTTTCACAAATATATAAATGGGCAATGCAGGAAGCCAAGGCAGATCGTAGCATATGCTGCTTTTGGTGCGTACACCGCCGCTTTCCTCCGCCGCCTAGCTTCGCCTCTAAGGCATTCTCTTGTCTGTACTTATTGATACCATAATCGCCCCTGCTGTCTTGGCACATAGATTAACATCAACGGAGGGAATTGTTTCACGTCATCCATTTTGTTCTTTTTGAGTTCTACCGCGGGCTAGAGCGCCCGAAGTCGCCCGGCGGCACGGCAACATAGGCTCAAATGATATCATAGAATTGCATATTGAAGCTAATATTCACTTACGAGCTTGACTGACAGCAGCGGATCCCATGTTTTTTCCAGGGTAATTTTAGGCGCCTCTACGCCCACGCTGGCTCAGCCTCTTAGGGCGCCTCCCTGCATTTTCTCGGTACGTGGCGCCTTCTACACATACCGCGAGGGACGCCGAGACAGTTGAGGCCATCTAGGCCTAGAGGGACCGCATCCAAGTGCTTTATATCATAATTTTGGCCGGATCTAGTTCCATTTGTCACGAAGATGCCGAAGGCAGAGTTCGGGACGCCGAAATGGATGAGCAATAGGATAAAGGCCTCGGGCCTCCAAAAGCTGCGATGGTATTGTCAGATGTGTCAAAAGCAATGCCGAGATGAGAACGGCTTTAAGGTGTGTTCCGCGGAAACGTCAACTTTACAACAGCAGCACATCAAGCGGAAGGAGCCCGTCCCAATCGTGGCTTAGCATCGTGCGCTGCGGTTCTATCGTTGGTGCTCGTGTGTTTGTCGTTGCAACGATCACAAATATTTCCTTCTCTATTTGGGCTTGTGATTTTTCACTTTTTTTCTTTTCTTTGTTTGAATTGTCCGCAGTGCCACCGAATGTCGGAGGGACACCAGCGTGCAATGCAACTCTTCATTCAACGCCCTGGAAAGTTTATGGACGAATTCTCTCGGGAATTCGAGGAGGAGTTCATGAAACTGATGCGCACAAGGTGCAGCTCCTTTCAATGGTTTACACGCACCGCCTAAAGCGGCAGTTGCGTTCACCTGACCACACAGCATGACCGTTTACACAGCTACTCAGTAGGCCACTGGTCCTCTCTAGGTGAAATAAGAGATTGAACAGACGACGTTCAGTTGCAGAGAAACGCAATACAAGTGGTACCCCCTTCTCATGTACTCTCTGCTCAGGTACTGCCGCACTCGGGTTTTGGCAAATTCCGTCTACAACAACGTGGTTTGCGATCGTCACCACATCCACATGAACTCCACCATCTGGGTTACCTTGTCTGAGTTTGTGCAGGTAATCGATTCCCCTCTATTTTTGCGTCTAGAACTCTTGTGCAGCTTTTGTAGAGTGACTGAGAATAAGCGCAGGCAGTCCCAGCACGGGCGCGGGCACCTACTCGGCTTCGCAGCCCAACAACACGGCAGTCTCAGTTCATTCGCCTTGTGCTTCATTTCGTCTAGTTGGAACTTCCTTGGTATATGGGGGCGTTTCCTTCTTGAATGCAGTACTTGGGAGCGACTAACAAATGCAAAATTGAGCACACGCCGAAGGGGTGGTATGTGGAATATATAGACCACGAAGAACTGAAGAAAAAGGTACGCGAGGGGCAGTGGGCTTGAAGGATGGCTGTGGGGACGTAGGGGAGCTACCCGTCGCTGAATGCCGGGACGCAGAAATCAACTTGTGGGCAGCAGTGCACCTATGTCCTATGCTGCGTCGGTGTGCTGCGCATGCGCGGGAAATGCAGGAGGAGGAAGCGAAGAGGAGAAAAATAGAAAAATCGCAGGAAGACGCCCGCATGGAACAGATTCAGGCAATGGTTGAGGAGGCTAAGCGGAAAGGAGCCTTTAAGAAACCGGTAGGCCAAAGGTATTTGACTGCCTTCAGGGACAGCGCGCTGACAATCAAGTTGGTGCTTGTAGCTGTTGCTGCAGCTGCAAAGACTTTCCTTACCGTTTTCGTGGCCTTGATATTCGATTCCAATCCATCATCTCCGTGTGCAATGTTGGCGCGATGGGCTTAGGAATATACAGAAATGCAACGAGAAGAAGGACAGACCATCACCGTCAGCTTAAGCAAACCGCAGAAACAGCCTGAAGAACGGAAAGTCAATGCCTTGCAGCAGCTGCAGGAACAGCTGAAGCAGGAGCGTCTGTCCAAGAGTGGCAGCCAACAAGAAAAGCGCAAGGTGATTGTCGTTCATTTTATTCGTTGGCTCAACATTGCCTGAGTATGTGGCAACTTAACAGTAACCCTTTTCATTCCCCGCATTTATTTTGCTTGCATGGTTGTTCGCGCTGCAGCTTTCGGCCATGGAGGCGATAGTGCTTGAAGCGGAACGGCGCAGGCAGAAAGATGCAGCGTTCGAAAGGAGTCCGTTTTCTGAGAACAATGGCGCTTCAGCACGAGATAGGGGAGATAGGAGTGAGCGAGAAGAAACAGACGAGGGCACCACTACATCCGAGCCGCGGCCTCCGCCGCACAAATATGCAAATGCAGACTGGTGAGTCTTCGGCGTATGCGCTCCTTCAGAAACCTGCTGCAAAAGACGTAGGAATACCCCTAGTTCCCTCGTAGCCCATATCTGCAACATACAGGGCTGAAGTATTTCTATCCATCTCTTTCTGCTTCTACATCAGGTGGCTGCAGCCGGGCCTAATAGTCAAAGTGATGCACAAGACTTTGGGGGACGGCAAGTACTACAAGCAGAAAGGGTTGGTCAAGTCTGTGGATGGCAGGTATGTAGCTTTTAGCGTCTCTAGATGTTTGTATGAGTTGTATGCTTACGTGTTTGTTGTACTTTGAACAGCTCAACGAGCTAGTGCAGGTATTGAACTCTCCACTCTCCACTGCCAATGCGCCAAGCCAAAATGCAGTAGCTAGCGTGGGCTTCCCTGTCCAGAATCGGTGCCTCTACAGCTCCTTTTGTAGCTGCAAGAAGCTAGACGCTTTTGGAGGTGGTACTTGTTTGCAAGGTTCTACGTATCTGTGCAGGCATTCCGCTGTTCTGGAGTTGCTAGAAGGTGGCGCCATTTTAAAGCTTGACCAAGACTACCTCGAAACTGTAATACCTGTAAGAACGTTCTTTGAAAAGGAAGCGGGCGCAACGTAGATGAATAGACTTACTCCATAGAGCTGTTTGTGCAGCAAATGTGTTGCTGCTGGAGCTTGGAGTTGCCCACTTATTTGTTTTTCTTTTTTTCTGCACCCAGCCTATAGGAGGCCGCCTTGCTGTTGTTCTTGGCGAATGGCGCGGCCATCAAGGAAGGCTTGAGGGGCTGGATGTGGATTCATACTCAGTGCAAGTGACTTTGGACTCGGGGCCACTTTTCAAACAGGGCAAGCATAAAGGTGGTCAAGGTGAGATGAAGCGATATTTCTTTCTTTTTCTCATCAAATGCTTTTCGAGTCACTGAATCCCAGCTGCATCCTCGTTAAACTCGATCCTTTATGAATGTGTTTCGTGTTGCTTAGTTGAGTCTGCATTTAATTTGGTTGTTTGCGCTTATGTGAAGCTTCTGTCGTGTACTGTCCTCAGGGGTCCTGGTGAAAGGTCTACCTTACGAACATGTCTGCAAGCTGGATAAACAGAAATAATCCCGAATATATTTTTGCGTTGCTTACGCTGAAGCCTTTCCCACTGTCCGTGGTTGCTTTGGCAGTAGAAATATATCGCATGCGCATCGTATGAAGCCGCTGATTCACCCGAGTTTGAGTGTTGCCGCGGGAAAGCGAGACATAATCGTGTATTCCTTATCGATGTTCCATATCTGGGACGGAAGTTTCCCTGTGAAGAGATATTGCTGCAGTGCAAACTTCCTTGGCATTTGATAAACACAGCTCAACCTCAGTTGTTGTCACCTACGTGCTAACCAGTCAACTAATGTGAGTGACGCATAGTGGCACCCAGCTACGGTCGTCGAGCTGTACAGCTGGGGCTGCAGGGCTGATCATTGTTTTTTTTTTTCAGCGTCCATGGCATGCAGCGACGGATTGTGTTGCGGAGATCTGTCCAAGCAAGCACGTGCCATTGCTTTGCACCACTTGCTTGTTTTCTAACTCTAGGTTCTAAAAGGCATCCTTGGTTGAAAGTATCTGTTTTGTATACATAGGAAAGCGACATAATATATTTGAATATGGGACGTAGGGCAACGCATCAAGTATCAGTAGTATATAGTGGTAGAACTATTCACCAAAGTGAGGAGAATAGTTCAAATTCTTCATGAACAAATGTTGTCTGTGCCTGCTGAATATAGTTGAGAAAACTGCCAGATTAATCATGACCCCATAATATATATGCCTTTCCTCGTAAAGCTTTAATACATATAGCTAAACGATGGGCCTTACGAGTCTTCCTCAACATGGCGCAATTTCCCTTCATGTGACTTGTTTCCGCCGGCAGCGACCACACCGCATAGGTGCTTGGCGGCTTGTGCAGCGCTTCTTGGTGGCTTATTTCTCCCTTGTGCTCTAACGACTCCTGTTGCCCGCCACGCCACATTCGCTATTTTAAGTGGTCTGTGGCGAATTGTAGAGGTCAGTAATATGAGCGCAGGTTTGGTCTCTGACGCAGGAGGACCACCTGGTCTCGTCTCATTTGCACTGCTACATATCTGGCAGGCCTGCAGCTGAACAGGCACTGCTGGTGCGCAGCTAGTTGCATAGCCGCCCAATGTATTACAAAGTGGAGGCCATTTAAATGATTCACCTCAATATTATATATTATCGTTGGCGTGCAGCTAGCTGCATGCTAGCCCAAGGTATTACGAAGTGACGGCCATTCAAAGGATTCGCTTCCATATTTGAAAGACGCATACACCTTCACGTGCCAAAAAAGATGTTCGAATTATTGAAGTGAACACGGCTGGATAGCGGTTATCCCTGCTGTGTTAACAGTAGTATCTAACGGGAGTCTGGAGGTCCAAAGTAAGCGTGCTGGTTTTGGTACGGCATTAAAGGGGCGATGTTTGCAGCTCATATGACACAGCTATGCCTTCCTTCTTTACCTTATGGTGCGGGCTAAGCTTTAATCTCTAGAGTTCCGGCTGTTGAATTTGTGCACACGTATATCTTCCAATTGCGATCTTGTTTAATTCTCAGCTGGAATTGCCCTACGCAATTTCCATGAATTGCGTTTGCGCTAAGAAATGCAGAAAGAGGGACTCGCTCGCTGCCCAATGTGCGGGCGGTACAAGAAATTACCAGCAAAGCAAATATCAGGATGAGTCTTGCCGCTTCAACTGGAAGTTATAAACGGTCTGCACCTTTGTTCGCGCTCCCGTGCAATTCTCTTCATTTCCTTGCCCCATGAACATGTTATCCGCTAAGAGTATATCCTTGACTCTTCTTCCTTGAAGCATTTGGAGCAGAGGCTCCTCATCCAGAAAAGCTTCAACCTTCGCAGTGCCTTTATCGGTAAAGGCCCAACTGTTCCGCGCAATGGAGCCGAAAAGTAGAAGATGCTCTGTCCCTAATTTTTCTTGAGCATTGCTCATGCTTATCCTCCTAGCATCGCTGTCACTCATCATGCTAATTTGGCTCGATGATGCATCGAAGGACGAAGAAGACTCAAGAAGCACCTGAGCACAGAAACGCATGGGAAAGCTCCCCAAAGGTAGAATTAGCACACAGTGAACCGACTTTAGGCCGACTTCAAAAACAAGTGTGCCTTGTCGTACGGAATCTGCGCTTGGCGCCCGATACCCAAAGTCATCATCTGGGCTCGAAAAGCTATTCTCCAGCAAGCTGCACGCGAAACGCACCGACACACAAACATGTACTTTAAGCGGTACACGTTATATTCGTTTATGCCTAGGCATGCAAACTGACTCATTGGTGAGGCCGTGTTGTAAGTGCTGTGGGTCCATTGTCTTTTTATTGCTGGTAATGTATATATCAACTCCGTCTGCGCTGGTGCATGCATCATGGAGTGTAGGTGACTGTACTTTTTGGCCTTCATAAGACTTTCTACCATTATCACTGTTGCATCCGGGAGTCCAGCTGCGTCTAGTAGGTTCTGCGTGCCCTCCGTTTCCCTGTTTAGTTTGTCCCCCAGCCATAAAACATGCGAAGGGCCTCCAAAGCAAGCAACGGCGTTCTCAACAGCCTGTTGGGTCAGAGCGGCGTATGTCCCACAAGCCTTTGAAGGTTCCATCCCCTCTTCCGAGCGCCGCCTTGTTGCTGTGTTGTTGTTCGTCTCCTCGTCAGGGGATGCACGTGGATCGTTGCCTTCCGCGAGGACGACCTTCCACAGAAGGTCTGCTGGGGGTAAATGGCAAACCGCCAGCACGGGCTGTTGCTTTTCCTCTTCAGCTGGCGGCGCTCCCGCCGCGTCTCCTGCTCCTGCATCCTCTGCATGCCCCTCGAGAGATTCTACCTTAGCAGCGCTCCGCGGCTTCTTAGTGTTGTTCCGCTGGTTCCCCCCAGCGCCGTCGCTTGTTCTACGCCCACGTGGGGCAGCCTCAGCAGTAGCAGCTGGTGCTGCTGTAGCCAGAGCAGCGGGTTGCGGGTCTACTTGGAGGAGCACCTCAGTAGGGAGTTGGATAGCCACTTCTCGCTCCTTCGCTGCAGCAGGCGCACAAGGCACGGTTTCTAAAATGAGCAAGTTGCATCTGAACGTGATAACCAAGCCATTTTGCGCCCAAAAACCTACCTATTTCCAAGATGGTCCGAAGCTGCGTCTGCACAAAATTGCGAACCTGCCGCAGGTTATAGACCCGCGGATGAATGCTGCAGCTTCTCTGTGTCACGCCACTGGTGTTAGGTTTAGGGCTTTCTTCAGCTGCTGCCCTGCAAAGCCTTAGCCAACCCCTTGGTAAGCCTGTTTCAGCGGTAGGGGCGCCTCCCGCTCCTGCCGCTGCTGTGGCAGCAGCAGCAGCTGCTGCTGCATCTGCTTCTTGCTGTGGACTCAGCACGACTTCCTCTTGTCCTGGAGTTTCCTGGGCGTTCACTTCCAGTACCACATCACCGTTTAGGGCTAAACCGCAAATGAGGCTTATCAGATCTCCTGCCAGGAGTATATTGGATACGATTGTTCCGGACACAAGCATTCTCAACTTCTGTAGCTGAAGAGAGGCCCACTTGAACAACGGCTCCTCGGCAACAGCCTCTTCAAGTGCAGTAGTTCCTGGCCCGCTGGGCACGATTCTGTCCCAGTACGCGCAAAGCACAGCGGTGGCAGTGTGCTTGGCTTGTTGTTCTCCTGCACCGATGACAGGAGCAACAGGCGGTTCTGCATCATTCATACTCTCTGGCGTCAATGTGCAACTGCTGTTTTCAGTCGCCTCTCTCAGTGCAGCAGTTCTGTTGGAGCAGCAGCAACTCCTATTATCCGTGCATAAACACTCCAAATGCCGCTGCATTTGCCTCTTCGCTGAAGCCGCTGCAGCATCTAACGATTGTCTCCTATGTCGTTCTTCCCGCCAATCTACAACAGCTTCTGCTGCGCGCTGCTGCAGTGCAGCAGGATCAATCCCTAGCAGCAAACAGGCTGCTCGTAAGTACGCCACCACATAGGGTCCCAGGGCCCTGATTGTTGGGCCCTGCAGCAACCAGGGGCTGCTCGCTGTCTCTGCAGCCGCGGCTGCAGCAACTATTTGTGGGTCTTTTAAAGCAACTTCCCCCGCCTCTTGTGTTGATTCTTCTGCTGTTCTATAGACATAACACGGGGAGTCGAGAGCAACGAAGTCAATATCTAACAATTCCGAGAGCTTGGAGAGCTGCCGTTGCGCCGATAGATAGTTACTCCTTCCAGCTTCGGTTGGCGCAGCTGCGTCTTCACTGTCTTCCTTTTGGGCGCCTGCTAAGGCTATCTCCGAGGCCCCCAACACCGCCTCACGCTGGAGGTCCTCAAGCTTTTTGGTGGCGGCAGAGAAGAACTGCTGCCAAGACGGGACAACTAGAAGAGAAGGAGCGTCTTCAAAGTCTTCGTTATCGTCGTCTTGCCCAATTCCTTCACCAGACCCTAGGCTGTCATCAGCTACGCCTATTCCCTTTTTTGCTGCTGCTGATTCCACAAAAGACGCAATCTCTTCCGCAGTATCGAGGCAGGCGACAGGCACTTGGTACTGCTGCGGATCATCTCCAAGCACCGCTGGAAGCAGCGATTCTTCCACTAATTCCTGCATCAGCTGCTGCAAAAGTAGCGGGTGTTGCAACTGCAGCTTCTGCTGCTGTTGCGGAGATATCTCGAGGCACAACAATACGCCTTCACCTGCCTGCGGCAACAGATCCCCAAGGTACCCTAGGCGGTCCTGCAGCAGCTGCTGCATCCAGATTTGTTTTTCAGCATCCGGCTGCTGCTGCAGCAAAGATAGCAAATCCTCTGTAGTCTTCCCATCGAAGAGCACAACTGCCCGCGTACCTTCAGAACAAGCATCAACGTCACTCTACACGGCACCGCTTGTCAGTGTTTCCTAGTCGAACTGCTTGTTAGTGCAACCAGGAAAAGAACAGCGTACAGTCCTCTCGGCTTTGGGGGATTTACATTCTTTGACAGTTGGTGCTTGTTTTCTAGAAAGGTACTCGGCCATGCGAAGTACGCGACGGTCTAAACATGACGGTAGCGGTGTTCGTTGGAGCTGCAACTCGAGGCTTTCACATGCCGGCTGCTTCTGCAATCGCAGCCGGGCTGCTTCAGCATTTGCCCCTCCCCACGCTGCTGTTTTCTCTGCCGCTTGCAGCATCAACTGTGGCTCTGCTGCTGCGACTGCCTCGCTTAGCAGCCACTGCAGTAGTTGCTCCGCAACGTGCTGCCGCGTTCGCGGACCTTCTTCTTCGGGTACGATACCATTTGCAGAAATAGCTGCTGCTGCTGCAGCTACAGCTGCTGCAGCTGCCGTCGAGCTTCCGCTAGGATCTTCGGACACTTTACTGTCGTGTCGGCCCTTGTTCACCTGTCGTCTGGAGCTTCGCTGTCCCTGACGTCCCTTTTCTTCGGCTGCAGCAGCCGCAATAGCTCCTACAAGAGTGCTGCAACTGGCGCAAAACGCCTGCAGATTCGCCCTAAAACCGGCAGAAGGTCTGCATTAGCTGTTCCTTCTCTGCAACCGGGAAGTTTATGTAAAGTCTTAAATAGAAGCTCTTTCACTCGAACGGAAAAGCGAAACTATGCTCAAGTGGAGGCGGACAAACTCACATTCTACGCCAGTAAGTCCAGTCATCTCCAGGGCCTCAGAAAACACTGAAGGGAACATTTCCAACGCGTGACTCAGTGAGGCACAGAGGGCCTCTTCTGCCGCATTGACAACTTCTTGCCCTTCCTGCAACAGTTGGAAGGGGGAACGGTCAAGCCATTCTACTGGGTCTTGAGGCGCGGGCTGGGAGTCGTCGCACTCCATAAGAAGCTTCCGGAGGGCCCAAAAGCAATCCTGGCTTTTCTCCTGCTCCTCGGGGGACAGTTGCAGTATTTGTTTCTGCAGCAAATCCACGCTAAATGCTCTCATATCCGCTTTGGCCGCTGCCAGAGCATCTGAAAGCGAGCCAGCTGTAGGAACTTCGGTTAATGTTTCTTCCTCCTGTGATTCTGCTTCCCCAGTAGCCTGCTCGTCTGTGTCCTTCGATCCTGTACTTTTCTTTTCATCATGACGAGCGCTAAAGCTTCTCTGGAGAAGTTCTAGTTGTTGCCCTTCGCAATCTAGTAGGCCGCTTATTTGGTGTTGCAGCAGCAAGAAGGCATCTACTACGTCTGGCGGTGCTGTAATGCCTAGAGGCGCGTTCGCGATACCGAATAAAGTGGCTCTTGCCAGCGGGTCATCCATACCTGCAGGAAATCGAGGAGTTCCGCAGTAGGTAAAGGAGAGCTACATCGCTATTTGGCAACTTGAACAGAGCCTCCGCCGCAAGTGAATACTGGCAGCTGCAGTGCAACTCGATCTACAGTATCTTCTTAAGGCGTAGAACAGTGAAACCGGGATTTATGCTACTACAAAGAGCTACTCGCTACTAACACCCCGTCAGTGGGCTGAGCTCGACGTGGACCCACAGGAAGGAACTTCTTTCGGTTTTGTTGTGTAGAGGTGTGTTTCCTCCAACAGCAGCTGCACAACATCTTCTGCTGCAGCAAGTGCTTGCCACCTGCTGGCCCTGCTGCATTGGTGCCATAGTCCTTCTAGAGGGATGGGGGAAGCAGAAACGAGGGCGATGATGGAAATCCTGGTTGTATATGCCGCTTCTGACGCCTGTGGTGGTGAGACTCTAGCCGACTTCGCAGCTCCATTACTCAATGTCACGTACAGCTCCCAGTCACAGTACTGCAGTCCACTGCGTCTATTAAAGTGGTAGCCAAAGTGTAAAGTCTCTGCCTCCCCGGGTAGAACAACGCCGTGAAGAGGCCATGCACAGAAACCTGAGGAAACTCGTCAGTCGCAGGCCATCTATAATCCCACCTGAGTAGCCTCATAAATATGTGTAGGATGCAGGATTTTCTGTAGCTCTCTTTTTGCTAATGGGCGGCAAATGGGCCTGTCGTTGTACCCGTATCTGCGTCGTTCCCGCTCATGTTGAAGCCCGGTAAGCCTTGGATTTGTTGATACCCCTGCTCGTGCTTCTGACGTCGCAGTGAGAAGAAGAAAGCAGCATTGCCCTCGTTTTTTAGACTTGCTTCCCCCCAGGCCACCCCTGACCAAGGCACTTCTATGACGACTTCTGTCTCGGATACAGAAAACTTAATGCCTGAGACGAGAGCGCTTACAGTTGCAATGCGCATCAGAGAGATTCGAAGAATGCAAGTGCGTGGGTCGCGCCAAGGCGTAGCGGTCAGACTGCGCCTGATGACGCACCTTTCTGGCTAGTTGCAAGCTCTAGTGTGTCGCTCATGTTGTTGCCTTCTGGGCATCCGGGGCTTCTGCTTGGGCTGTTCATTTCCAGCAAGGGGTCATGCTGGGCGTCTGCAAGACTGCTTGTGTCTCTCCAAGGGCTCCACTTGGTCTTAGCGAGACGGCACCTTTCCTCCTTGGAATTCCGATTTGAAATACCTTCATTGCAATGCAGCTGTGGGCGCATGAACAACCCAAGCAAAAGCCGTGGCAGCCGGCCAACCCACGGGCCGCGAAGTGCTTCTGCAGACGCTCGCAAACCTTTGCTGTGGATAAAAAGGAAGGATACACTAGTTTGCTCCCTAAATACGGTACCTTACCTTCTGGCTGTGACTAAGATTGCCTCCAGGTACATCGGACGTTCGAGCTGCCGACGTCGCAGACGCTAGACAGACGGTCGGCGAGAATCGAACGCTCAGCCTGTGGCTTTCTCTCAATACGCTGCTGCGTTGGCTGCTCTCTCGAGGCTTCTGAAGTTCGTTTTTCGTCTCTTGGTCGGCCACATTGGCGGCTTGCCACTTAGCAAGGGTCCCCGTTTTGCCAGGATCAGCTGGGCAGAAGGGCTCGGTTTCCGCCCCCGGCTGTTGGGTTTGTCCCTGCTGGTCCTGAGACTCTCTTGCATTCGGAGGCTTTTCATGAGAACTGCCGTGCGGGCGGTGCCACACCCGATAAAGTTTGGGTTGCTGACACTCTGGCGGCATCTTAGAGATCTGCTAAAGGTCGATCCCCCTTCACAACTGCTTAGGTACGCGGAAATATTATACTGGCGCTGCGGTACAGAACACTGCTGCGATTAAATGCTTCTCTCACTCAGGAAACAAAGCAGGACACGCATGGCCTGGAGTCGCGCCGCGTCGAACTCCAGCTGCGGCTCTCAATGCTTCTGCTACCATTTCGGACGCCTATAGACTGCCGCTTTCAGTGATTAACTCCTTTGGAATGGGATTTCGAGGTAAGGCAAAGTCCCGTTCTTAACAGTAGCAGCTGCATAAGAGGGAGCACCGCGAGTGACCTGCCGAGCCCGCCCCGTTGGTGACCGCTCACGCGGCTCTGTGGGGTCCCGTTGTCACTCCTACACCGAAATAATGGATCTGCTGTCAACAGTACACTAACATGTGCTTTTAATGAGTTATTTGGGAAGCTGAAGTTGTGTGATCGTGTCAATGTTGCCGCTACAGGAACCGCGGGGGCCCAGGGAACCAGAGGACCCACAATGTGAAACGTATGCTTACCACTTCAGAGGAACTTGTAAAATAAGCAGTAAGCACTTAAGGGCTAAAATACTTCTACGGAATCTCCAACGGGTTGTCTCAGATTGCATTGCCTTCAAGTAGTGGAACCGCGGAAAAAAACCTGATGCAGCTTCAGAGACCAACTATTGCAAATGATACAGGTATCCGTTTTAGATGCCGTATTCATTTCCCCACAGAGAAATCTTATGCAGTGAATGTTCCGCTGCAGTGGGAGTTGACGATATTGTGCATCAGGTGATTACCTGTTGCAATTAATACTCCTCATGCAGCTTTACTTTAATGCGCACTGCAATGAGCCAACCGATATGTCCAGCGATTCTTCAACTAATAATAGCAGCTGCAGAATGTCGACTTTCACGGTTTAAAGGGGATAACCATTGGCCAGTCTGTCCTTAAAGTGTAGCAGAACTAACAGATTGCTCTTATGACTAGATAACATCCAAGGTACTTCGATGTACTGTTCTTAAAGCTTAAAAAAACTACTGCCTAGGTTCTCCCTGACCGCATCGCTTGCTCCCTGTAGAATCATCAGGGTGATCAAACCTGCAGGTGGCATCGTGATGCAACTAGCGGTATTTGGGGGAAACTGACAAGGTATGTTTATCTTGTACGACACAGGAAAGTGAAGCCGTTGCAGTGGCTCCAGCGCCCCTCACTTCTATAGTACTCTAGGACGAGTGCAAAGGAAAATCTAGGAAGCTGATATGCGCAGTGAACTGGTGCTTCGCGTGGTCTTTGACACGGTTGCTACAATAGAGACGATTGCTGGAAGCGTTTCCCTAACCTGTGCTCGCAGGTTAGTAAATTTGGTGCGTTCCAAAATTGGTGGTGTGAGTAACGGTTGTTACAACCTAGGCGCTCTAGCGCGAGGGGTAACCCCTAATACAGCTCAATAAAGTACAAGACTATCCATTATGCAGCATGAAGCTGACAATGTGATATGGAACCCATTTTAAGTCAGGGAAACGCAAGGCCTTGGCATTTCTTCCTCACAACACTTCTCTTGAGCAGGAGCATCCAACACCAGCAGCGGGAGCTCACTCAAGCTTGTTGCGGAGGGCCGTTGGGTGTGCGCCCTGCACAAAATAAGTCTATCTCACTCCTCCTGAGGTTGTAACAGGCATTTCCGAGTCAAGGAATATCGTTGATACTCTTGTAGGCCCATTGTCCGTCTTCATTACTGCGTCGTTCCTCAAAACCTAATTCCTATGACGTGTTCTTCAGTAGCTTTCGCTGTGCTATTTGACTATCCAGAGCGTCGCGATAGGTTTGCATGGCTTCAAGACGCGATAACCGTCTGAAATAGAACCCACAAACTGTATAGCATCAGTGCAGCTAAACCAAACATTGAGGCTATAATCGTGCAACGCATGGAAAGGAAGCGCAGTGGTCGGTGAGTTTTGACTTCTGCGTTGCAACGAATATCATCTCCCATCAATATGCCCCGCAGTTGCTCGGTCATCCTGTAAGTACGTTATGCGCCTCACTCCTGTCGAAGCGAAGCTTTGTACTGCTCTAGAGCTGCTGTAACTTGAGCCCTTTCGACTTCCTTCTCACGCTCGAGTGCCGCCTTAATAGCTTCTCGTTTCTTTACTTGTTCTGAGGCAATATAAAAGGAGCATCTCATCCGACAGCTAGTTGTCAGTACCTTTTTAACAGGGGTCTCAAAAGGAAGAAACGCTGGTAAAGTATGCTGCCAGTAGGCTCTACTCTCGCATATCTTAGCAAGACTGTCTACTGCTAGCCACCGTTGCCCCCGACACGTTTACCAAATGACCTTGCTCATCACGGAGACACCGTGTACGCAGCTGCATTCGTGATGCAGGCGGTGCCATTTGGTCTGCGATTAGCATCGTACCTCTGCATTCGTCGGCTACTGCACGCGCTCTCTGCCGTCGTGCAGCATCTGCCTCGGCGCGCTGTAGACATACAACATGGGGATGGCAGTGGCTGCATCTGAGCATTAATAGCCAACAGACGCTAAACAAGCAAAACAAAGATTGCGGACAAGGCATCTCTGCAGTCTGTGTGGTGCAGGAATGGCGATTATGGTTAGCCACGAGCGCTCGCGCTCTCCTATAACAAGAATTGAATGCATAGATGTGCTGAGAAGAACGTATTGGGCGCAGAACCTCAAGCTCCTTTCGTTCCTCCTCTGCAAGCTGTTCTCTAACACAAAAGGAGTCGAATTCGCGGAGTTCCTGCAGTTGTCGCTGTTTTTCTTGTTGCATGAGCTGCAGGCACAATATCATGGACACAACGCCACAGAGATATAGACTGAGCCAGTTGAAGGAAATAGGGCCAACTGTGAGACCCTTCGATGGTCATGTCACCAGACGAAAGGCCACCCCACATGCAATGTAATCCACAGCTAAAGCGCAGTTTTAGTTCTGTTCGCTGGCGTACACATCGTTAAAGGCCCCTAAAAGCTTACGATCCGAACATGATGCGCATTGTTAACTTCTATTTCCTTAATAAACCTTGCACGATCCTCCGCTTGCAGCCCCATTTTAGCTTGTGTGTCTAGTTGGCGCCTACGCGTAATGACAGTGCTGAGCGTCACCCTCAGGCGGGGCATATACAACGCACGGAGCGATTACAAAGCCACAACAAAACAGTAACAAAGAACTGGGCTGGCGCGGATCCCAGGTATTGTCCGACCTCTCGAGTTCTGCATCTTCCAACCGCTGTCTATTTCTTTCTTTCAGTTGTTCTGCAAGGAACAGATCCATCTCTTTTCTTCGTTGTATGGCAGCTGCTTGTTGCTGCCGGCGCTGCTCTGTCGCTGCCTCGGCCTCTTCTTGAAGACGAGAGATTTCTGCTTCGTTTTCGATTCGGATCCTTTCGAGCTCCTCCTTTCGTTTCTCCTCTCTTTTGGCAATCTGAAAGAAAGCACATTGAGCGCAAAAAAGTAACGTCCTCTGTATTCGTCGTAGTCGAAGCGGTGTGTATGAGCAGCTGGTTGGCTTGCTGCGTGTTAATACCTGCTCGAGCAGAGCGGCTTTCGTTTCCTCAGCCTTCTTCATATTCGCGATGATGGCTCTTCTGTCACGTAACCTCTTTTCATTGAGTCCTTCTGTCCAAAGAGCATGGAACACATTTTCTTCCTCGGCCTTCTCCTGCTGTTGCCTCTGTTTGGACGCTATTTGCAGTGCGTTTGCAGCCAGCATCTGAAAGACAAGCGCACTGAACCCTGCATAGTTCAGGCGGACCGGACACTTCAGCTAGAAAAGTAGAGGGCGCTGAAGCCGCAGGATGAGCTTTTCAGGAACTACGCGTATACCAATGATGAGTGCTTTCAAAGAGTCGGCAACTGTATGGTGGAAACGATGTCACTCATTCGTGGCATTTGTGGAGCTTCCAACCAGAATAAAAAGGAGCAAAGACTGGCAGGTTACCTCCTGTACAAGCTGCTTATATTCTTGCGAGCGCAGCTCCCCTTGTTCTTGCTTCATTCTGAGGGCAAGCAAGCGCTCGTCCTCTCTGTCCCGCTCCTGATCGTGTTTCTGTTTTAGGGCTGTAGCACGCTGCATGATGGCCTTCTCCCTCGTTGCTGCACTATCCTGGAGCTGCCGCAGAGCAGCTTCAGCTTGGGCGTGCTCGCTGTCGAGCAATGCTTTCAGCTTGCGTCGTCGTTCTTCCAATCGTGGAGCCAGTTGCCGTCGGAGCTCAAGAACCCTCCTACGTAATGTGGCCTCCTCTGCTGCAGCTTCTCTTCTCCTGGAAACCTGTGCATTGTGCTGAAGCTGTCGACGCTCGGCTAATACATCTTTAGCTGCAGCCAAGTAGGCTTCGCGCTGTCGCAGCAGCTTTTGCTCACGAATAGCTCCCGCCACAGCGGCTTGGCGAGACAGCCCCATGGTCCCACCACCTAAATGTCCCCCTACCCCTCACAGGTAGTGTTTGGCAGGTGCACTGATCTTTGCCTGACGGGATGTGCAGGGAAAATCCCCTCAAAATTGCTTAACTTGTTCATAACCACAACGAACGGCCTATGTGAGCCGGGTTTTTGTTATGTTGCTGAGCTGAAGGACAGGCCTGAATGGGGTCATCGGGAATGCTCTAGAAAAGAGAGCTTAGTTACTCCGGAAGGGGTGATGGCGTAACAAGACACAAGCTCGTCGGTCCCGTAGCACAGCGGGAAAGGGCCTACGCGGCGCGGACGGGATCGTTCCAGTACGGAGGATTGGCGTGAAAGCCTACAGTATTTCCTTAAAAACTAAGTAATCACGAAGAGAGTTGGAGCTATAAAACAGCCTCATTCTGCCGGCAAAGGAGCAGATGCTCTAGAAGTAGGCTTCCGGGGGACCGCCGCTCTGGCTGAGGCCGACCGCTGCGTTGTCTTGAAATTTGTGGCCCTACTTTCAATAAATGGAAGGGAATTCCATCTGAGTTTCACCTTTTGTGGGTTTCATACAGAATAAGCTTGATTGATACTGCCATCGCCGCTGTCGTATGCGCACGCTGGTCAAAAACGCGCGAATGCAGGCGCCTTGCTAAGGTGCAGGGTCACTCGGATGAAATCCTCCATCTGCAATAACAACATTGCTCTAAAGGGGCAATTTTCCATTATTAATGAGTTTTGAATGACCTGCTAGCTGTCGCCATACCTGTCCTCGTGAAGGGGGCAGTAAAAACCGCAGGATGTACCGCAGGACGGGCTTTCGCACATCGATGTGGAAGGGCCGCCAAGAGAACTAAAGAGTAACTCAACATGCTCCATGCTCTGCACTGTCTGTAGCGTTTAGATCCCGCACTATTCAACGGTGTCGAAGTTGATATGTAGCCGGATTCCGGACGTTCCCTGGTCCGTCCGCCTCCTCCTCTAGAACAGGAGGGGTTAGTCACGAAGTACGGAGCATGTCAAGGGCGGAACTGAGTGCCACTGCCATGTTTCAAGGGAATTTTGTCTCGATTTTATGCGGCCTTGGTAAAACATCGACGTAGGCGTACGGCAAGCAGGCAGGAACACGACTTGCGCAGTGGTCACTAGGGCTGCCTATTGAGCGCAAACAGCAGAAAAGCCTTGTTCGATGCAGTACCAAAATGAAGTGCCCTTGGAAGCAATCTCCTGCCGTTCGACTGGCATCTCCTACTATGGACCGCGAGGGTGTGAAGCTGAGCCTTACGGGGGACAGACTTAGCCATGGAAAAATACATGGCGGAAGAAGCGGGCGCCCTAGTACTCCCTTGCCGTCAACAGATCCAGGGCAGAAGCAGACTGGTCATTCCCAGTGGCACGATCGACCCGGTGGCCCTATGTCTCTTCCAGGTTTGCATCGCAGCTCGCCTAGTACTGAAATGCTAAAGCCGTCGAGTTGCTCGCAACACTTTGGATTGCAGGGTACTAAATCCAGAGCGACTATCCCTGACTTAGAGGACAAAAAGCAAGGATTTTGTTTGCCTGAAACAGATCTTAGATCTGTGGGGGTCGAATCACCCGAGAAGGGGCCTGTAAAGCTGGGATTCGTCGCGACCGGAANCCAGGAACATGCGGGGTCTATGCAAAGCGATGAAGCCGTTGCAACAGTGGCCGTTAACACGGATTTTGTCCTGAGGCCGCCTTGGGCTTCCGTCCATATTGGCTCCCATGACCTGTCGTTGTGCCCACCCCAACCCAGGAGGATAATTTCTGCTGCACAAGCTGCAGCCGCCTCGTTTATGGGAACAACACAGCGATCGGAACACCGAAGCTCATCGTTAGCCTCACGCGCTTCAGTTGTACCTCGCAGGCGAACCTTCACAACATTTCGCGAATGGCTGGCCCAAGATCACCGCCATTCCCGAAAGGCGTGGGGACCGAATGGGCAGTTTCCTGCTCGCAGGGGCCTGAGCCACAGCGCCACAACGGAGCGCTCTCGCATCCTGCTGTCTGCAGCAGCTATGAAGAGGAGTGCTGCGGAAAGCAGAGCACGCCATGCTGTTGAGGCTGAAGTGAGGGAACTCAGCACAAATCAAACTCCACAGCAGCAACAGGAAGCATACGTGAAAGCCCAGCAAAAGGCACTAGCACTCCAGCGGCAGCAGCAGCCAACTGTCGACGAGGCGGTAGCGAGAGAGGAAGCACGAGCTGCGGCTGCTGCTGCTGCTGCCGCAGCTGCCTCTGCTGCGATAGCCCAAGCGCAGTGGCCTTCGCGCCATAAGCTCAGGCAGCAGGAACTGGAGCAAATGCACCGCCAAGAGGCAAAAGTAAAACGAGGCTCAGCTTCGGACTCAGTGAGCGATAGACAGCAGCCAGCAGCAGGGGACCGCAGCCCATCACGACCGAGAAGTAACGATACCCCAGCTCAGGAGGCACGGAAGCAAAAGTCCGAGCAGATCCCTGAAGGACGTCAGGGTCCATCTGCTCCGCGTAAGCCTGAAATAACACCCGTAACGGCAGCAGCAAAAACTAAATATGCTACAGGAAAGCCCCTAACGCTGCCACCTCAGTGCCCGTGGCCGACTAAACCTCGACCACCTGGAAATTCTTCAAGGAAGAGGCTCAAACAACTATCTGCTCAGGAACGGTTACAACGAAGCCCAACGAGGAAAAATGCGGACACAAACAATAATATCGACTGTCTGGACGGGGCTTCACAGGCCTCCGGTGACGAGGAGGATGCTCAGCCCTTCAACCCCCTAGACGAGGTGTTGGTGCTGTTGCGAAAGATCAAAAGAGCTGAAAGTTATTCATTCAGTATACCGCGTTACAAGCGAAGTGTGCACAAGGGCACTAGGAATGACGGAACCCAGCAGCAGGCTGTCCACGTAGTCTCAGCAGTTGCTGAGAGCGTCTGGAGCAACTCCAAGACCACCGAATCCAGTGGAAAGATTCTGGCTGATCTAGGACCTTCCGAGCCTGAAGGCGAGCAACGAAACGATCATCAACACTACGAAAGGAACCCTTCGCAGCATGGGTTATCGAGGCTTAAGTACCTTCCACTGGAGGCTTTTGACATTCCTGAAGAATATGGCGAAGCATCGCCTGAAGCTTTGTTGCAGCGCTGCCGATTTGAATGCCAGCAGCGCCGTCTTAAAATGAGGCACCGCAGCAAAGTGTCCTCAGCGCAAACCGTTAATGTGCACCCTACGCAGTGTGAAGCCGTCAACCAGATCTGTAATGCTGATGGGTGCACTCTTCCCGAGAATGCCGAAGCCTCCGCTACTACTCCTAGTGAAGATGCGGTAGAATTGCACCGTCAACAACAGGAGCACGACGCAATGGAATGTGCCTCTCACAAGCCGAAAACTCATGAAGAACGGGAACCAGTAGGGGCAGACACTGATAATCAGCGTGTAGCGTCCTACGACATACAATTATCCGAGCAGCAGCCCGTTTCGCCGGCGGAAGCGGTTCATACGGACAAGTTCAAAATCAAAGCTGCAAGTCCTGCCAACGAGAACACGGAATGTAACGCATCTGCTTTGGTTGAAGATAACATCGAAGGAGAAGCTGAGGCGGAAGTACTGCATTTTGTGGGTAACAGCTGGACGCGCATTCCTTGTGTCATTCTCCGCTACGATAGCGACCAGAAACGATTTGAGGTGCAGCTCCGAGACGGAACGCTTAAGACTGTCAGGCGGTTGGCGCTTCGCTTCTGTTTTGAACCCCCTCAGCTCCAGCAACAGCGGATAGAAATTTGCACAAGCAGACGGCGGCAAGCGCTGACTCGTCAACACTTTCTTAACTCGGTCAATGGCCTACCATCTTCGGCCTTTTCCCCACTGCCACAGAACTTCATTAATTGCATCATCAAAACAGCTACTGGAATTGGCCCGCTACGGAATCGCAGCGTGCTTCTGGATTCTCTCCGTTTAGCAGTACAGCACCTCAAAAGTCGCTTCCTTGAAGCATCGAAGCTTAGCGCTGTGTTGTATTGTGCGGAACGTCTAAGGGTAGCTGGCAAACTTGAGTCGCGTCTGTTGAATAACCCTTTTCAGCAGAAACAACAGCAACAGCAGCCGCATGTAAACGAAGACTCTCAGGAGGGGGAAGAGGGTAAGGAGCAAGCACCACTACTGCAGGTCCTCCAGCCGATGCTCCCGGCGCCTCCGCCTGCCCTTGGTAGGCTGAACATAGGCGCTACGGGATCATTTGAAGCTGCACTGGCGCCGCTTCGGAAAAAGCCCCTCTTTGCTAATAACAAGACCTTCAGAGTATGAAATTAATGCCTACCTGAAACTGTTGGTTCCGAACCAGGCTACACTTGCGTGCTAAAAAAATTTGCCTCCTTAAACCGTTGGTAAGTTGCCACCCTTTACTGAAAAACGGTGTGGCAGGGCCTGTGCGCACTATACCTGCAGCTGAGCTTGCTTTTGGAGGGAACATTTTGCGACTTGGGAGGGCTGAGCTTCTTTGACCTGCCAAGCCGAAAGCTCCAGCGCATCAGCTTTGCAAGGGTATTCAAGAAGTCTGCAACTCTGAAGGTTGGCGAGTGGACGGTAAGCCAGCTTCCAGGCCCCACCGAATCTCATTAACGCCCTGCACACTCTCGCAACTGAGTTAGGCACCTACAAGCTATCCTTTCATCTGCCTTGCTACTACGCCGCAGTTAGTTTTGACTTTTGACGTAGCGACGAGTGATTCCCACATGCAAGGGCTAACCATATATTTGCTGCCTGCACCAACAGATCCCGGATCCAGATCAATACCTTATATACCAACAGGCATTGTCTTCCGACGTAGCTGATGCCCTTCGCGAGCTTGGAAGGGACTCTTTATGTCACGCCCTAATCAACGCATTTGGCCCCTTGCATACAGCAGCAGCTACAACTTATGCAGCAGCTAGCGCGGGAGCGGTAGCAGCTTCAGCAACTGCCTCTTCTCCCACCTCAACCAGCATGACAACGGCTCTTCCAGATGTATTCCTTCGCCGCCAGCTCATTCGGTTCAACGCGATGTTGCGGAGCAACTTATTATCATTTGTCATCGAATCCGCAAATGAATGGAAGCATTACATGCTGCGGGCTGTCGAAGAGCGGCTTGACCCCGACGTGCAAAAAGGAGCAGCGGCAGCGCCTGATGCTGCAGTTGCGGCGGGCTTCTCCTTAAAAGGAAACGTTCCCTGCTTCCTGAAGCTGCACATAATCATCTCTAATGACTCTCCCACATTTCACCCTGGCCCAGAAAAGCAAGTCCTCCGATCCGGCATCCCTATTTTGGAATTTTCATTAAGGCTGCTCAATCCTGCAGCATATTGCCGCTGACTGCAATGCGAACTTGTGGATTGTTCCAGGGTGGAAGACATTCTCCGTCAAGCGCTCTTGACAATGGTGGATGCGGTCTCTACAATCAACAAGCTGGGTTAGTTCCCTATTAAGTAAATTAACAGGCAATCGCCTAAGCCATTGAAAGTGATTCCGTAGTCCCATTTTCGCTTTTGCCAGTGTTGGATTCGCCAGCAAAGACACCGTTGGCCCCAGTTTGAATTGCATTCGACGACTGAAGCATCTACGACACTTTCACAGGATAGCACTCTACTGCTTCACCAGTGGTAACAATCTGTTCTTTCAACGAACTAGGAAGTCATAGGCATCCAAAGCATCATCGACTCAGATTGTGCGTCGTTCCACAATGCTCCCGATTACGCTGTGTCCCGCAGACGCAGACATTGTACCGTTCGCGGCCTCTTCAGATGAGCCCCTCCTACGTCTATCCCTAGAGGACCCGTTTCTAGCCGATGCCGAGAGAGCAATGGTTTCTGCAGTACAAGTTTCTTTTGCAGTGGCAGAAGAACTGCGTCAGCAACTTGCAGAAGTGGCTGCTTCTCTATCCGCTGCCGTAGAACTTCCCGTTGATGTAAATGGAATGGTGGACCTGCAAAAACTGCAGTCCGACCTTCAGGGATATAAGGATGCTGAAGATCGCCTGCAAAGGTTGTCTCCTCGGATTGCAGCTAGGATCTTTTTTGTGGATGGCGAGAAGGCCAGGGCAATGCTACGCTCCAAAGCACAAAGACTCAAGGAGCAAATATGCAACAAGGCCTTGGCGTGGGCAGAGAGCGAAATTAACGATCTCCACGAGGCGTGGGCAGAGGCATTAGCGAAGGCCTCACTGGTGCCAACGAACGAGCAAGAGTTGATTGAACTGAAGAAGTATCTGGCTGTTGTTCATCAGGATACAGCCCCTTTGATTACTAGAGGTCAACGTCTCGCTAATCTGATAGCACTCCTTGAAGAGCATTTTGTCTTTGCTTCTTTAAGGGTGCAGAAGCAGGCCTTTGAACTCGACTGTTGCCCAATGAGGCTTAAGATGGCCCTCTGTGAGACAAATGGCATCCTTGATTTAGCAAAAGAAAGAGTAAGGCCCATTGATTATGCCTATCAAAACTCCCGGGGATAAGCGCGATTTGACCTCTGCACCCCACAATCAGCAGAATGCCGAAAGCGGCCGGAACGAGAAACCATCATTTACTTAGTGAAGTGCTCGCCCACTGCATTTAATATTCAGTGGAAACTGCAAAGAGCTCGTTGAATCAAGGATTCTGCGAAACGGGGATAGACAAACTTTCTTTCTCCTTCCTTAAACTCCTGTGAATGCAGCTCGAAGCGAGGCGGCAAGTAAGCGCTCAACATTTGCAACTCGAATCTGAGGAATTGCGTGTTGAAGTGGACACAGCAGCTACCATGTTCAAGCATGTAGAAGAATCCGCCGAATATTTACCAGTTTTGGAGAAACTGAGCCAGCGAGTTCAAGCCGCTCGATTGGAAGTCGATAACTTGCGCAAAGCTGAAGGACTCTTCGGTCTTGAGGCGTCGGAGTTTGAAGAGCTTGAAGGCGTTTGCGTCGTCTTTGACCGGCTCAATGATGTACGCTAGAGAGTTAGCTGCATCGAGTCCCTCATTCGCATCTCATCGTAAATGCTCTAGTCGTATTGTCTGAGCGTCTCCAGTCTGATTTGCCGCCATTCCACCGCCTAGTGAATTTAGTCTCCGGCACTTTTCATGGCTTTTCGAGATGTTAGAACGACGCTGGTATGTGATGTGATGTGTTTCTTGTAGCTTTGGACCGCTGCGAGCAACTTCATAAAGAGTCGAGAAGAATGGCAAGCCGCTTCATTATCTCATCTGGACTGTGACGAAGTGGAAGAAAAACTGCAGCAGTGGCGGCAAGTGGCCTCATCTACACGAAGGGTGGCCGGCGTTTTCCGATCGGTCGAGCCTCTGCAGGCATGCGACAAACTCCTTCAAGCTATCGCCTCCTTTCAGAAGATGCTGCCCCTGATGAAAACGCTGACGCACCCATCGTTTCAGGCAAAGCATTGGCAGGAACTCGCTGCGAGACTGAACGTCGAAGCATCTGGAGAGGAGCAAGCCATATCACTCAACACCCTCCTCCAAAAAGGATTGCCGGAAGCCACACAAGCTGTTGAAGTCATTGGTTCTTCTGCAATGCGGGAATTCCGCACAAAAGCTTGCTTCCAAAAGATGAGGGGAGCATGGCGAGCCCTGCGCATGGAATTAGTGAATCTTGGTAATGAGGCGTTGGGCCGGAAAATGCTCAAAGGCTTTGATGCAGTCAACTCTTTGATAGAAGAGCACCAAGCCAGCGTGCAAAGTTTGCAGGCTTCCCAGCTTGTTGGTGGCGTAGAGGTGCAGGCACGTGAATGGCTTCGGAAGCTAAGCGACCTCGAAACCTTATGTAGCCTTTTGGAAGCTTGCCAGGTGTCGTGGGTGTATTTGACACCAATTTTCGACTACCCGGAAATGCAGCAGCAGCTTGCTAAGGAAGCCCAACTGCTCAGCGCTGTGGGCATCCTGTGGAAGGAGGAAGTCATTGGGCGGCTTGACGACAATGCGAATTTGCTAGATCTGGTTGAGCTTGAAGAACTACCTCAAAAGTTGCGTTCAGCTTGCAGTGACATGCAATTAGTAGTGAGGGGGCTTAACGACTTTTTGGAGAAAAAGCGGCTCGCATTCCCGCGGTTTTTCTTTTTATCCAACGAGGAGCTTGTTCAGCTTTTAGCAGGCGCTAGCCATGCCGAAGCGCTTGCGCCCCACGTCCAAAAGTGCTTCGAGGGCATTCATTCGTTGAACTTCGATAAGGACACCAAGGAAGCGAACACTATATTCTCGCACAGAGAGGAGGCCCTTCCTCTGTTGGCATCAGTTCGGCTGGTAAAGGACGGACAGTCAGCTAGTATCGAAGACATATTCTTATCCGTAAGCTTGATAAGCACTGAGGCGATTAAGAGTCGCACTCTTTGTCTACTTAGGGCTTAGCGCAGAAAGCTGCTTCGCAATCACTTAACGTGGACACTAGCATTACTTCAGAGCTGTCTAACTTCTCTCGCACCAGACAAGCGGTTTCCGTTTGCTGCTATGAAAAGTATCATTAGGTGAGGTGACTGTGCATGCCGTTTCCTTTTGCGTTTCTGCAGATCGAACGCGAAATGTGCGCGGCTCTCCAACAGGCAATGCAGAAAGCATGGGAAGAGTTCCCTTCAGCCCCAAGCCGGCTTGTATGGACAACGGAAATATGTGCATGTGCCCAGGCAGCTCTCGCCATAGCGCACTGCTGCTGGACTGCCCAAGTAGAGACAGCAATCCTACAGCACCAGCTGCCTCATCTGGTCAAGGACCTGCAACATCAGCTTCAACAGGTGTGTCCCTTACGCGCTTATCATATATCTGTTACGAGCAGCGTTTCTGTTGGAGGCAAAAAGATAAGCTACCTCTTTTGGGACTGCCTGCGCCTTCCTGCAGGTAGTCCAGGCTGTCAGAGGGCCACTAAGCCCCATGAGTCGCTCGGCTCTAGCAACCCTGTTAACACTAGATGTGCACTGTCGTGATGTGACGGAGGAGTTGGTGCAAGCGAAAACGACCCACATAACGCAGTTTGAATGGATCTCTCACCTCCGCAGCTACTGGACTCCTGCTGCACACCAGTTGGGTGGCGGAGCTGGGTCTGCAGGATTCCTTGTGGGGGGAAGAGGACCCAATAAAGGCGTAGCGCGTGGGAACTTCGGTAGCCTGCAGCTTTCTATGGTAGAGAGTTGTCTATGCTATGGCTTCGAATTGCTACGGAGCCCAGACCGTTTGGTGGTAACACCCCTTACAGACCGCTGTTACCGCACACTAATGACGGCACTGCACTTCCAGTATGGAGGCGCACCTGAGGGTCCGGCTGGAACGGGGAAGACGGAGACAACTAAGGACCTTGCAAAGGCTGCAGGAAAGCCCTGTCTTGTTTTCAACTGCAGCGAGGGTCTAGATGCCGCGGCGATGGCGGCGTTGCTTAAGGGCCTTGCAGCAAGTGGCGGCTGGTGTTGTTTTGACGAATTTAATAGGCTTCAGCTGGACGTCTTGTCTATAGTTGCACTGCAGATATCAGCTATCCAACAAGCTATAAGACGAAAAGCCATAACGTTCGTCTTTGAAGACACGGATCTTCAGCTTAATCCAACTTGCGCAATCAATATCACTATGAACCCTGGATATGCTGGCCGTTCAATCCTGCCAGATACGCTGAAGGTAAGCAAACGGAGCAAATCTGTCTCAAGCTACCCACGTTTGCATTTTTGCCACTGTGCTTCTGAACAATGAAGTTTTCAATGATGCGCAACTAGCTATATCAAGCGGTTAAACCAGCACGCCTGTCGGACATATGCTTTCTACGACGTTATTCTCTATAGGCCCTGTTTCGTCCTTGCACGATGATGGTCCCTGATGCTGCACTGATTGCAGAAGTCATGTTATACTGTAGCGGCTTTCAGGATGCCTTCAAGCTTTCAAAGAAGGTATCCAAGTACTCCAGCCGTGGTAGTGCACACCCCTAGGCACTGCCATTCGTTGTTACCAAGCGCTGCAGAAGGTCCTGAGGTTTTGCCTATCAGTTCATCTCAACTCAACGAAGAGCCTTATGCGTTGGAATTCTTACAGAATGCCTGTNGGTTTTGCCTATCAGTTCATCTCAACTCAACGAAGAGCCTTATGCGTTGGAATTCTTACAGAATGCCTGTTAACTTAAACGCCCTGTTCTGTCCATTACTACGTGGTGCAGATGGTCACTTGTCTCCAGTTAGCATCCGAGCAGCTTGCGCGACGCGGCCATTATGACTTTGGCATGCGGGCCGCTGTTGCCGTCTTGAATACAGCAAAGCACCTATTTCTCCAACAGCTTAAGCCATCGACAGAGGATGCCCCTAGCCCTGCAAGAAAAACCAGTTTTCACAGCGAAGACGTTGCAACTCGGCTTGAGGCAATGACACTTTGCAAGGCCTTGCGACTGACAAATATTCCAAAACTTCACCCCACAGACAAGCTAATATTCGAGGAAATATTGAAAGATGTTTTTGATGAGGACGACCTTGCGGCAGCCGAGTCGGAGCAGTCTCTACGACCGTTTTTGAAAGAAGCAGCAGAACAATTATTACTTGAACCGTCAGAGGAGCTTCTTACAAAGAGCTTGCAGGTGAGGTGGGCAGTCAATCGAGCTTG